GAGGAGGAGGAGGAGGAGGAGGAGGAGGAGGAGGAGGAGGAGAGGAGGAGGAGGAGGAGGAGGAGGAGGAGGAGGAGGAGGAGGAGGAGGAGGAGGAGGAGGAGGAGGAGGAGGAGGAGGAGGAGGAGGAGGAGGAGGAGGAGGAGGAGAGGGCCCCCCGCTGCCCACGACAGCCTCGCTGGGCGTGCCGAGGCCTGGGCTGACTTTCTCAGAGATCGTTGCCGGCTCGGCTCTCGGGCGCCTTTCCGCCGGCTTTCCCCTGCGTCCCCTGCCGTCCCCACTGCGGCTGCGACGTCCCTTGCCATCGCGGTCTCCCCAGGCACACACACGCCGGTCGTTGAAAGTAGGTCTTTTTGGATTCCCAGATCCCAAGCTACTTCAAGCGCCTTCCTACTTCAAGAATCGACACGCTTTTGCTGTGTTTGTTATTCTCTGGGGGGGCCTGGACCCAGTCTACTATATCCGCCTTCCTACTTCATGTTTCTACCTACTTCTTCCGACCGACGTGTAATCTGATTTCCCCATACTCTGAGATGTTGAATTGTTCGTTGGAGCATCGGGCTTGGGCCTGCGGGTGCGCTCTGGTGTTCCTCCCTTTCCTTCGTGCCCTCGCTGCCTTCCTCGCTCGTGCGACTGCCCGCGGCCCTTGGTTTGAGCATTGCGGTCCCCATGGGACCGGCGGGGCCATACTCAATCATCGAGCACTTCAGGAGAACCACGCTTTCGTGATGAGATCTGCCTCCCATGCCGTTCGGGCCAAAATGGCTCCGGGAGAGCCTTCTAAGGCTCTAGTCCCTGCCCTGAGTGCAATCGAAGTCGCTCAACATGTCACGACGAGCCTCCAAGATGCTCCCCAGAGGGCCTGTCTTAAGAGGTTCTGAAGATGACCCAGGATGCCCTCAGAAGTCTCCAGTTCGCACACCCCGAACCCCCGGGGGCCCCCAGCGCAGCCCCGAGGGGCCCCCACGAGTGGCATACGAATTGAGCGTCTGCCACACCACGTCCAGCGTCCAGTGTTTCGCTCACTTTCCTGCATGTCCTGACGTGCGATGGTCTTGTCCGGTGTGGTCTGGCTGCGTGTGGTCTCATCAAGTATGGCAGGTTCGTGCCATGTCGAACTAGCGGCAACCGCACCGCGGGCTTTCAAAGTTCGACACCGTCAGCCGTCATGCGTTCAATATTGAATGATTTGCGCTTTCGGAGAGCCCTGATCGTTCAAGGTTGCAGGATCCACGCGGTGTCAGAAAGCAACGCTGGGGTCGTCACGACACCAACCCGTTGTATGGTCGGGCAAGGGGTCATTTGTGCCGATTTGACCCAGTCGGTCTTGCTTGGTACGAGGCCTGATCCCTTCGGACGGCGGACAGCGCACAGAGTCGACGATATACAGAAGTGGTTACACAACCGGCGTTCTGTTCTCATCCTGCTTGATTTCGTACTATTCATTGACCTCAACTTCCCTGTGATCGCAGTTCCATCTCCATCGTGTATTTATGCCTCCTGTTCCCCATTCTTCCACCTCTTCTTCACGCGCCTCCTCTTTGATGTCTTCGCCATGGCATCTCTGTATCTGCAGCTTTCTTCGCTTGACACCTACGCAGTGTCATACCTGCGTACACTTTTTTTGCGTCGCAGCGCGGCAGAGGCAGTCCATGCATGTATTCATGTGTGTGTGTGTCTGTCTGTCTGTCTGTCAGTCTGCCTGCCTGTCTGTCTGTCTGTCTGTCTGTCTGTCTGTCTGTCTGTCTGTCTGTCTGTCTGTTCCTATATATGCATATATATATATTATGCACATGTATGTAGGTATGTAAGTATGTATGTATATATGTATGCATGTGCGTATGTATGTATGCATGTATGTATGCATGTATGCATGCATGCATGCATGGATGCATGGATGCATGGATGCATGCATGCATGCATGTATGTATGTATGTATGTATGCATGCATGCATGCATGCATGCATGCATGTATGTATGTATGTATGTATATATGTATATGTATATGCCAATATGTATGCATGTATGCATTAATGTATGTATGCATGTATGCATGCATGTATGTATGTATGTATGAATGTATGCATGCATGCATGCATGCATGCATGTATGTATGTATGTATGTATGTATGTATGTATGTGTGACTGTGTGTATATGTAAGTATGTACGCATGCAGGCATTAATGTATTTATACACGTATGCATGTGTGCATGTATGTATTCATGTATGTATGCATGTATGCAGGTGTTCACACGTAGGTATGCATGTATGTATGTATGACTGTATGTATGTAGGTATGCATGCACGCATGCATGCATGCATGCGTGTATGTATGTATGTATGTGTATATGTATGTATGTATGCATGTACGTATGCATGTATGTATGTTTGCATGTGTGTATGATTGTGTGTATGTGTGTCTGCATGCATGTATATTTGTACGTATGTATGTATGAACGCATATACTACTGTATGTATGAATGTATGCATGGTTGTGTTCATGTATAGACGTAGACATGCATGTATGCATGTTTGCATACATGTATGCCTGTATGTATGTATGAATGCATGTGTGTGTATGGTTATGTGTGGATGTGTGTGTACGTGTGTATGCGTGAATGTGTGTATGTGCTTGTGCACCTTGGTATGTATGCCTGTCTGTCTGTCTGTCTGTCTGTCTGTCTGTCTGTCTGTCTGTCTGTCTGTCTGTATGTATGTATGTATGTATGTATGTATGTATGTATGTATGTATGTAGGTATGTGTGTATGTATGTGTGTATGTATGTATGTATGCATGCATGCATGCATGTATGTATGTATGCACGTAGGTATGCACGTATATTGCATGCATGCATGTATGCATGCACATACATGTGTGTATGTATGTTACATGCATGTGCCTGCATGCACGTCCGTACGCACGCACGCATGTATGCATGTATGTATGCATGTATGCTTGTATGCATGTGTGCATGAATGGATGTTTGCGTATGCATATGTCTGACATTTATATGCATCCCCGCCATCTTTGTCAACAACCTATGCCAAGTGGCCGCTCGTGATCCATGTGTTTGTGCCACGGGCACTTCGTGCTGTTTCTTGACACGGATTGTATGTGTATACTTGTGTGTGTGTGTGTGTGTTGTGTGTGTGTGTGTGTGTGTGTATGTGTGGGAGGCGCTGATGGTTCCTGGCTGGCGCTGCTGGCGGCCAGTCGAGTGGGGGAGGCGGTGTTCATCCATAATCAGGTGTGCGTAGAGGGGGGGTTCACCCTAGGTTGGGTTAGGGGGCGAACCCAGCTCGAGGCTGGCTTTTCCCCTCCGGGGGTCGTCCAGCGCGTTTGTCCCTTCACCCCACCTCAGCCCTAGCCCCCCTCGACACTGAGGAGCAGTGGCAGATTCCCTCGAATGGGGATGAGGACTGCAGGGAGAAGCTCGGTGCACAACCCCAGGCCGCCTGCCACCCGGAGGGGGCTGGTGAGACTCGGCCCCAGAGGTCCGACCATGACGAAAGTCAGCCTCGCACTGTTTCTGGGCTCGTTTCCGCAGCAGCTGTCGGCGGCGCGCCCAGGGGGGAAGGCAGAGGTGGCGGGCCTTCCCGGAGGGCTCAGAAGGCCCCCGGCCTTCTGAGAAGCTTGCCAATCTGAATCAGCACGGCCTCTCAGAAGGCCAGAGGGCTTTGCGAAGCCCCGTCGCCGTCTGAGGAGTCCTGTCCCCTCTCACTTTCTCCTCGGCGCGCCGGTGGAGCTGGGGGAGCACCCAAGTTGATAGCCGTGCTCAAGGCTGGCCTAACGTCTGGCCGCATGTGCGTTACCAGACCAGGGGGCTGCTTCGATACGTCTGGTTTCGTCAAGCTCCGGAGATACTTGCGTTCTCCATCGGGCCCGTCACCCTGTGTACATTCCCGGGTGGCGTGGTGCCATGTGCTTGAGGCAAGTCATGTCGTGAATGCCAGCGGTATTTTCGTGAGCCGTTGAGAAGGAGGATCCCATCGCAAGCGTCGGGGCTGGCGTACAACACGCTGTCCATCAATGTTCTGTTGCTTTTTCTTCTCGGGGGGGGGGGAGGGGCGCTCAGGACCTGGAGTATATGAAGTACATGCTTAAGTACGACTCGGTTCACAAGTCATTTGATGGCACCATTGTCACCAAGAAGGAGGCTCTGCTCTTGCCGCTCCCTCAGACACAGACAGCACTCGCAGTTTAAAGAAGAATTGCGGTCTTCCTCCACTGCGTGGTGGCTTGACGAGCAGTAAAGAAAGCGCCGAATGGCAGCTGATGGGTTGCTGCTTATTTGGGAGAGGCTGGGATGATCTGCTGTCACCGAAAGCATTCACGCGCGCCCATGCGTCGGTTATGTCCTCAAAAGCCCTGTGGGTGTACGTTGCTGCGAAATCGTATCCTCTCTCCTCCTACCTATCCCCCTGCCCTTCCCCCCCCGTCCGCCTCCTCCCAAACGCATGTGCGCACTTGATGGGTATGGTTTTCGTTCCCAAGTCGGTTTGGATTCACTTGGCTCCAAGCTCATCCCAACAGGCTCAGCGACTTCCAGGAACAGATGAGAAGCAGGATGGAGGAGAAAGGGAGGAGGAGGAGGAGGAGGAGGAGGAGGAGGAGGAGGAGGAGGAGAGTGAACAAAAGGAGGAGAAGGAGGTGGCTGGAGGATGAGGAGGATAAGGAGGATGAGGAGGGGAAGGAGGAGGAGGAGGAGGAGGAGGCGGAGGAGGAGGAGGAGGAGGAGGAGGAGGAGGAGGAGGAGGAGGAGGAGCAGGCAGGAATAGGACGAGGCGGAGGAGGAGGAGGAGGAGGAGGAGGAGGAGGGAGGAGGACAAATGAGGAGGAGGAGGCGGAGGAGAAGGAGGAGGAGAAGGAGGGAGGAGGAGCAGGAGGAGGAGGAGGAGGAGGAGGAGGAGGAGGAGGAGGAGCAGGAGGAGCAGGATGAGCAGGAGGAGCAGGAGCAGGAGCAGGATGAGGAGGAGGAGGAGGAGGAGGAGGAGCAGGAGAAGCCATCTGTGGAACTGGATGTGGAGGCGGAGCCTGAGGAGGGGGAACCCAGGGCGACGGCGGGAAGGGGGGGAGGATGATGGTGTGGTCGTGGAGGGAGAGGGACACTATTCTGGACTGGAAGAGAGCAACCAAAGCTCCAGGAGCGCAATGGGGCCCGATCTCAGGGCGGCCAGCGACGTTTTCCAGGGCGACGCTCCCTCTCACAGGAAACCCTTGTGGACCCCGACCTTCGCGAGCGTCTCCAGCAGGTCCCGGCAGCCCTTCCAGAAGTAACCAATTCCAATCAACAACTCGGGCTGTGCACTGGAAGCGCCGCCGCTCTGGCCGCACTCCCCTTCGTCCTCTGGTTGCGGTGGGCAGGGCCGCCTCCTCGACGCGGTGCTTGGGTCTAGTCGGCGGCGTTTCTGTCGACAGTGGTCTTGGTTTCATGGGAGGGAAGGGTAGCAACGACTGTTGTTCTTTCGGGGGAGCGTAAGACCTGGGTTTGCCAGGACTCGGGTTCGCCATCGTTTTTTGACGACCGCGCCTCGGATTTTGACGAGGAGGAGTTTCGTGGGATGTCCGCAGCGGGAGGCCTCGTTAAAATGCAGGCTCGACCTCGTCATTTTTTTGACGACCTCGTCGGGGATTTCCGAGTCCCCTGTACCCAGGTCTTACGCCCCCCTGATTCTTGCAATGGTCGCGCATTGGGTCCGCAGCTCGCGGCTATTCGCCCACCCCGTGCTCGGGCCTCGCGGCGTCGCGCCCCGACGCAGCCTCCGCCATCCTGGGGGGAGTCCTTGCAGACCGACGTCGTCGCGACAGCGATCCGACGCAGCCCTGTCAGCATTGGAGGGGTCATGTTGCCGCCCGAGGCCCCCCAGGATTTTCTCAGGGTTGGAGGACGATGGGGAGGTTGGCGAGGAGGAGGAGGGGGAGGCTGTGAGTTGCAGGGGCCCCGCGCGCGCGCGGGGCGGCCGCGTGCGCCGTGCAGGGCGGCAACGAGTACCTCGTTTGCAACGGCCTGCCCATCCAGGTCTTCCACGAGAAGGCCCCTGTGCGCTCCGCTGTGACCAGGCGGCGCCCCCAGACATCCGGCGGATCTTTTTTTGTCAACCTTGGCGTGGTTGCCTTTTGGGGCCCTGGGGCCGTCCCGGGAAGGGGTCGAGAAGCCTGGGGCCCGGAGATCGAAACATCGATCCGTCGGAGGTCCTGGGTGCCTGTGAGACGAGGAGCGAGGAGGTTCTGTGACATCCGGGTGCCTGCTTCAGCGCTACCATCGTCCCAGCGCAGCAGCGAAGTGTATTCCGATGGGCTCGGTAAGAGTGGGAGAGGTGAATCGCGTGGGGGTGTAGAAGTGGGCTGTTCTTGGCGGTGCGCCTGAGGGAGGTGGGTTCGATGGGCGTGGCTGGAGGGGGGGGCAGAACAGGCCGTCGGGCGGGGTGGCATGGGGTAGTGGTATTTGCACAACTCGGGGTATGCAGGATGATTCTCCCGATGGTACAGCCGTCTTGGGGCCGTCTGGAATTTCCAGCCCTTCTTCCCAGACTGGAAAGAAGGGCTGAGACTCTTCAGCGCGGCGTTGCGGTAACGTTGCATGGTTGTTGCGTGTCCTCTTGGGGTTCGTTGATGCTTGTTGGGGGCCCTTCTGGGGAGGCCTTTTGGCCTGTTGGGGTGTCCTCTGGTCGTCTTCGACCACATGGTTGTACCGAGCTCTCCCGAAGGGACTAAGCTTCATTATCTTGCAATCGCACGATGTGAAGACCCCGCCGTGACGCCGTGTCCATCCCGACCCCCCGCCTCGCAATGAACCAAACGTCGGCGGCGCCGTCCTCAGACTGTACTCCGAACTGAGTAGGCCAGTTTCTCTGCTCGGAACAAGCGGCTTTTAGACGTTGCAGCAGTGCAGTGGCGTGAGGTTTGTGGTTGGCCATAAGGTGATAGACGGGGCGACAATTCTCGCGGTGGGGCTTGTTGCCATTTCTTGAGGATGGTGGTTTTGAGGATATCGTGTGGACTATCTGGCACCACCCCCTGCAGTCAGTGCTTTCGACTTAGCGCGGACGCCCGTCTCCTTGGTTTTGCGCCACGCGTGCACGCTGCCTTAGCAGAGTCAGAAGCTCTGCCCCGCCTTGCGGCCGCAAGGAAGAGTCGCTCGCTTCAGTCGTGGCTTGCTTGGCTCGGTATGGCAGTAAGGAAACACTCAGCCAAGTGTCGCCTCAGTTCATTGGCGGGTGCGTCCTTCGGGCCAGTGCTAGGGAGGTTGTCTTTTAGCAAGTGGGCGAACCTGACGGAAGCAGCCAGCAAACGCAATGGACGCAAGTGAACGCCCTAGCCTCTGATGGTCTGAGGGTCTCACGTCTGAGAGGAGCAGGAAACGGTGCGAATCAAGCGTGTAAGGAGGAGGTCAGTTCGAGGAGGGGGAAGGGGGAAGCAGCAGGAGGAGCTGCGGGGCAAGGGGGACAGTCCGAGGGGAAATCGGTGTGTGGAGGGGGGAGTAGCGGAGGATTGGCGCGCAGGGAAAAGGGTACTGGGGGGATGCGGAAAGCAGACGCAGTGGGAGGCCGGGGTCGTAGAGGTGAAAGCAGCGCGGGGAGGGGCAAGCAGAGAGGGAGGGGAAGCCGTGGGACGTGCTGGGGGAAGATGGGATGGGAAGGGCTGCTGATGATGCTGCTGCTGCTGATGATGATACTGATGCTGCTGATGATGATGCTGATGATGACGATGATGATGCTGATGATGATGCTGCTGATGAGGACGATGATGATGATTATGATGAACAGGCTGATGATGATGTTGATGTTGATGATACTGATAATGCTGCTGATGATGCTGATGATGCTGATGATGCTGCTGATGATGATGCTGATGATGCTGATAAACGATGATGATGATGCTGCTGCTGATGATGCTGATGATGCTGCTGCTGATGATGATGATGATGCGGCTGCTGCTGCTGCTGATGATGATGGTGATGATGATGATGAAGTAGATGATGATGAACATGATGACAATGATGATGATGATGATTATGATGATGATGGTGATGGTGATGATGATGATGATTCTGATGATGATGATGATTATGATGATGATGAAGAGTAATAATAATATGATGATGATGATGAGGATGCCGATGATGATGCTGATGATGATAATGACGACGATGATGATGATGAGGATGTTGATGATGATGATGATGATGAAGATGATGCTGATGATGATAATGATAATGATAATGATGATGATGATGATGATGATGACGATGATGAGGATGCTGACGATGATGATGATGATGATGATGATGACGATGATGATGATGATGATATGATGATGATGATGATGATGATGATGATGATGATGATGATGATGATGATGATGATGATGATGATGATGATGATGATGATGATGATGATGATGATGATGATGATGATGATGATGATGATGATGATGAGATGATGATGATGGATGATGATGATGATGATGATGATGATGATGATGATGATGATGATGATGATGATGATGATGATGAGGATGATGATGATGATGATGGATGATGATGATGAGGAGGAGGAGGAGGAGGAGGAGGAGGAGGAGGAGGAGGAGGAGGAGGAGGAGGAGGAGGAGGAGGAGAGGCGCTGCTTCGGGTCCGTGGGAGCTAAAGCTGAGGACCCCGCGTCGATCCCGTGGGGCGCGGCGGGCGCCGCCTACGTGTGCGAGTCGACCGGCGTCTTCACCACGCAGGTGTGCGGGCCGCTCCAGCCCCCGCTCCAAGAGGGGGGCCTGAGGACTGGGGGGTACTGCGACCGGGTGGAGGGTTTCTCCGAAGGGCTTAGGCGACCCGTCCTCCTCCTCCTCCTCCTCCTCTTTCTCCTCCTCCTCCTCTTTCTCCTCCTCCTGCCTTCCTCCTCCTCCTCCTCCTCCTCCTCCTCCTCCCTCCTCCTCCCTCCTCCTCCTCCTCCTCCTCCTCCTCCTCCTCCTCCTCCTCCTCCTCCTCCGTCCTCCTCCTCCTCCTCCTCCTCCTCCTCCTCCTCCTCCTCCTCCTCCTCCTCCTCCTCCTACTCCTACTCCTACTCCTACTCCTCCTCCCCCCATTCACGGGTCGCTTACGGCCCCGGGGGAAACTGTGCAGGACCGTATGTATGCTCTTCGTGGTCCCCGCTCGTTCGCGCCCCTCGTGGCCCCATGTGCATGCCCTTCGCGGCCCCGCTGTCGCTCTTCGTGGCCCCCTCTCTGCCCTTCGTGGCCCCGTTTCTGCCCTCAGCGGCTCCGTCGCTGTCCTCTGCGGCCCCCTATACGTATGCCCTTCGGGGCCCCTGCTCGTTCGCGCCAGTCGTGGCCCGCGCCAACAACGGCTCCCGCCTGCGTTCCCGCAGGTTTTCGGAGCCTCTGGAACTGCTCGGTGGTCATCGGGGCCATTCCGAGGCCCTCCAGAGGTCATAGGAGGCTTTCGGGTGCCTTCCAATCCCCCTCGCCTTGTTTCCGCACCGCTCGTATCCACCTGCCCCCACTTTTCAACGTTCTTTCCCAGTCTTCTTTACTCTTTCCCTTTATCTTCATTTTCGTTTCGTTCGTACCAAATTTTGCTATTCTTCAGTTCTTCGCATTCCGCCCACTTCCTCCCCAGGCCACCCCATCCCACACCAACAATACCCACCCCTTCCCGCTCGCATTCCGCATTTCCCCCAAATTATTCCCAGTCCCTTCTCCAGATGCCTCCGTGCGCCCCCCGCTCCTCCGCACTTCTCCCGGTTCCTCTTATCCGCCCCGTTGCCGCTCCTCCTCCTGGGACCCTACTCTCGTCCACTCCATCCCAATCCACTCCGCGCTCCCGCGTTCCACGGTTGCAGTTTTCGTTCTCTTTCCGCCCCGCTTTCCCAACATTTCGTTTCGTTTCGCTTCGTTTTTTTTTTTTTTTTTTTTTTTTTTTTTTTTTTTTTTTTTTTTTTTTTTTGTTTTTTTTTTTTTTCTCTTTTTTTCCTCTTCGGTTTGTTTTTCTTTTTTTCTTTCTTTTT